AAGAGTAGCTCACAGGAAGACTAGAATTGATGGCACACCCAGAGCCCAGGTCCCTCAAAGTTGTTCTCTCCTCTAGGCTTACCTGCAGTCTTCACTTTCCTCTCCCCTATGAGAAGGGTATTTAATTTCTTCTTTGTGCTTCTTCCTTTATGTGACTCCTGAATGTTAGTAAATTTGTGGGCTTTTTTTCCCGTTTTTCTGCCTATTGCCAGTGTGTTTTACAGAATCACATTATTAAACCTTCAGGAAGTACAGAGAAGGTTCCTTTTGGTCTTCACGGGAAATCCATTTTCTGTAGCTTAAGTAGATGACCTGTGCCTAAGTACAGGTGCCTACAAGATGGGTGGATATCATTCTAGGTGAGGGGCAAGGAAGGCTCAGGAGGGATTAAAGCTATATGTTTAGCTTACAAAAGGAGCTCTAGGCCTAGTTTATATTGTGAACAAGCTGAGACAGTGTTAAATGATCTCAGAACATAAGACTAACTTTGGTTACAAGGTTAGGTAAGATTCCCATTTGTAACCAAAGGCATTCCCAGAAGCTATTTCCACATTAAAGAAAGCTTCTTTGCTACTTTTTACAAGAAAAAGGAAGGAAGGAAGGAAGGAAGGAAGGAAGGAAGGAAGGAAGGAAGGAAGGAAGGAAGGAAGGAAGGAAGGCAAAAGTATCTTTCAAACTCATATGTATGTAGTTGCTAATTTTACTTCTCTAATAGCAGAAGTTGAGGTTGCATACCAGGAACAGTATAGAAATTGAGTTTAAACTTGAGGTGGACTTCAGAATCCATCTTTAAAAACTGTTTAAAATTGTTTTTTAAACATAATGAATAATAGATTGAGCACTCATATACATGCCACCAAAATTTAACAGATGTTTACATTTTGCTATGCTTAATTCAATTTTTTTTAAGAAGAATATATTACAGACCATTAAAAATCTCCTTTACATACCTCTCTGGCAGTTTGGTTTTCGTATCTCTGTCTCCAAAGATAACTATTTTAAAGTTGGTGTTGATCCTTCCAGTTCATGTTTATGTACTTTCTTTGTATTTGCATATGCTCATAAAACTTTTGTTATTAGTTGAGTGTTTCAAATTTACTGTATATGGTAGCATGCTAGAAATCTCCTTCTAGAACTACTCTGTTGCATTAATCTCTTTAATGTTAGCAGCGGCGAGGCAAGGAGTCCTCTTAATACTAGGGATCTCAACTCTGGTAAAGCCAGATTGTTGACTTTACCACAGAAAAGAATTTCAGGATGAGCCAGTATTAAACAGAGATGGACATTATTAAATGACTTAAAAATTTTTTAAAAAAGTATTTAAAATATACTGTTTCTTACAGAAAGACTCATTGTTTTTGCTAATAACACTGAGATGTTGGCGCATACTTCTCTAATGTGTATGTATTTAATTATTACTAGTCATAATCGGTTGCACTCGGATCCTTGGCACTTATACTAGTTCAATATTGTATAACTGTATTAATTCAACAGTGAACCTAAAAATTTTATAGCCACTTTTGAAAGAAATGTATCTTTGCTCTGGAAACTGTTATTATGTTAAAGCTGTAATGAAATGCTTCTTCTAAAAACATAAAAAAATAAAAAAGTTAAAAAACAGTATTAGGGTGTGTGTGTGTGTGTGTGTGTGTGTGTGTGTGTGTGTGTGTGTGCATGTGCATGCCCACTCATGCATGGATGCTACTGCGCATGTATGAAAATCAGAGGATAACTTGATAATTCTAGGGTACTCCAAGCTAGCTCCAGTCATTCACCTGTCTCTGCTTCCCATCTCCCTGATATTACAGATACATGCCCTCATATCCAGCTTTTTACATGGGTCCCAGGGACAAACCAGGTCCTCAGGCTTGTATAGCTAGCACCTTTACCCACTGAGTCATTTTTCCTGTGCCTAAATGATGTTTTCAAGAATGAGGGTTAAGAGAAAGAGTAAAACACACCAAGAGTATGGACAGGGGCTTGCTTTCATAGCGGTACATACTGCTTTTGGTTACATCTCAGAGTTGCTAAGGAACTTAAAGATAATTCCCATACACTGGATCAGAGTACAACTGATAAGGTAAAACCCTATGTCACAGGTTGCAGAGGTTAAGATGTTTCACTGGAAGCAAAGGTTAAGTGTTGTTTTTGAGATTCCCAGAAAATGCTTGAGACAGGAGTGAGGTCACACAGGTTTAGGCTGCATAGTTCATGCTATTTTAGCATTCTTCTCTGCATAAAAGGAAACTCCTGGAGCTGGGGCTGAAGTTTGGTTGGTAGAGTGCTTGCTTAGTTGGTATGCAGGAAGCCCTGGCTTCAACGCCCAATTTTAACACTTGAGTGGTTGAGGCAGGAGGGTCAGAAGTCCAAGTCTGCTAAATCAGACTAGGCTATAAGAGGCTGTGCCTCAAAACAACAACAACAAAAAAGGTGGTGTGTGAGTGTGTGAGTGTGTGTGTGTGTGTGTGTGTGTGTGTGTGTGTGTGTGTGGTGGTGGTGCAGCATACCTTTAATCTCAGCATTGGGAAGGCAGAGGCAGGTGCATCTCTGTGAATTTGATGCCAGCCTGGTCTACATAGCCAGTTCTAGGCCAGACAGGGCAACATAGTGAGACCCTGTCTCAAAAAGCAAACAAGAACAAACCAGAAAAAAACAAAAGGAAAATGAAAAAGGAAGAAAAGGAAAAAAAAAAACAAAACTGGGGGAAGAAATTGACTATCTAGCAAAACAGGGTTTCATTAGATTCCGGAGGCTGGTATTAAGATCAGCTTGGTGATGTGTTCAATTAGAGTGGCTCTCTCTTTCCAATGTGTGACCATGACAGAGTCACTGTTCCAGTCTAATTATGAGCATCCTAGACATACATCTTGGTTGTCCCGGTGTAGGGCAAAGATATTCCCAAAGGAATACTGAGTTGTTGATAGAAGGGCAGGATGGTGAACTGCCAAACAGAGAATACATGTCTACAGCCAAGAAAGATTTGGAATTCCGCCAAGCATGGAGGTTCCAACAGTATATTTAGATGCTATTATCTCTGATGCAAGTTGTTGATATATTATTAATACTGCTAGCACTATTATTTTAATTTAGCGGTTAACAGTTTATACTCTGGAGTCACAAAGACATGACAGCATTTCAGGTCCTTCCCGTAGAAGTCACATGTGCTTTGAGGAAGCGATTTCATATATACATGCTAGAAGCCTCAGTTTCCTCATCTGTAATGTGTCTCCAAAGATAACATTGATCTTAGAGAATTATGGCTTAAATTAAATGACATAATATAGACAGAAGAGCTTAGTGCAATACCTGACTTACAAAATTATGCTCCATGGACCTGGGTTTGGTGGCTCAAAACTAGAGGCTACCCTAGGGTAGTGGGGGGTGGTGGTCGAGAGAGAGAGAGAGAGAGAGAGAGAGAGAGAGAGAGAGAGAGAGAGAGAGAGAATGTGAAACAAGTTGCATTTCAGCCAGAGCAGCAGCTAACAATAGTGTTTAATAAACTTCAATAATAATTCGTCAATACTGAAGACATATTGAAGATGACTGTGGTCAGTCTGGTAAATGACACACACTGCCAAATGACACTGCTATACTGTGTCATTATAGTATAGACTATTCCACTTTTCTGTTATTAATCCATCTTTTGTGTTTGGATGAACTCTTCTATCAACTAATATTATTTGAACTTAACTTTTTTTTTTTTTTTGAGACAGGGTCTCACGATGTAGCCCAGGCTGGCCTGGAGCTCAGAAATCCGCCTTTCCAACCCTGTCTGATGCCTGAGTGCTGGGATTAAAGGCCTTTGACACCATACCAGGCTTAAACTTTATTATTATTTTTTTAACTAACAACTTTACTATAATAAAACTTACACTTGAAGAACTTCTAAGGTTTTCCCCCCAGTCTTATTTCTTCGTACTTTTTCTTTCAAAACGCGCCATACTACTCAAGAAATACTTTTAAAGTCCACAATAATTCTAAGGTAGTTTTAAAAATATGCATCTCCTTGCTTTCTTGGGGCTTCAATATTTTCTTCCATTGCTCATTATTAAAAGAAAACTTAAAATGTCCTGTTGACTTGCTCACGGATAGTAATCAAATGTTCTGGGACTGAAATACATTAGCAGCAAATTGTGTTAACTTGTAAAAAAGTGAGTCAAGTTGCAGAAGGCCAACTTCACACACGTTAAGTACTTATTGCAGGATACCTCTTTGAAAATGACTCCCGGGAAGGGTAGCCGGCTTGAAAGAACAGCTAACAGTGGTTTTCCTACTGCGGTTCTCAAGCCCAGCAAGAGAAGGTGAGGTTTTTTGTTTTTTCCCACTTGTGGCTTTGCACGGGCACAGCTGCCCGGGGTCCCCTGCCCGGAACGCAGCAGGGTGCCCAAGGGCCGGGCGAGGGTCGGAACGTCAGGTCCTTCCAGGGCTGAACGGTGCCCCGGGGCGGAAGGCGCCCAGGGCTGGCTGCCTCGCGGGGCGGAGCGGCTCGGACCCACGGCCGCAGGTCCCGCCCGCTCCGGGGCCCG